CATTATAAAGGAAAGAACACAAACTGGAGAACAAAGAAGAAACAAAAAAAAATAAAAATACCGACAAAATATTTCAAATCAAACGCAGATCAATCGACACAGCTCAATCCCACCACCAATTGCACCAAAAAATAAGGAGAACAGTTAAGAAAACGAAATGAAAAACAATGAAAAATAAGCTATACTCACGAAATGAACGGTATGGTAAACGACACAGCCCAATTCCAACCCCCCAATCCAATTTTTATTTATATAGATAGATGTAACGTGTTTGGGCACGTCATGCGAGTATTTATTGTTCTTCGCTTTTACACTTATACACTTTGCAAGAATTGCCACTTGCAGTATCAGAACTAATTCGGACGGGATAGGGAATACCTTATCAAAGAGTTAGTTTCATCTGTTGCTTAGGAAATGCTAGCACAGAACATCTTGTAGAAGTGTTTGGTTTCATCCGTTGTTACTCAGCGGAACATCTTATACTCTCATCTCCAGGGAAACGCGTTTGTTGTTTCGGCAATTCCTATGCAACGGCCCACTGTTATTGCGTTTCCATGGAAGTATACTTTCCGGTTTCATCCGTTGTTACACAACGGAACCTCTTATCCTGTGCAATCGGTGAAGAACTTTCGGAGATCCTCGAGGGGTAACAAACCAACATTTACGTTTTTATTTATATAAATAGATAGAAGATAGATTTAATGATTTTAACATCATAAAGTATTAAAATACGTTTTTAATGAGTGACATATTCTTGATGTCTTTTAAATTGTTGCATTATTTACGTGTACTTTGATAATAAGAATATGTTGCATGTTACCTGTGTAACGTTGTTGTGGTCACGTGTCTCCTATTCAGTATGACAAATAACTTCCACGCAGGTCTCGAATTCAGCGAATAAGTTATTGAACGCCCACTTTTACACCAGCGAGTACAATTATTATCACGTCCAGTATCACCAAAAAACTCTTCGGAGCTGGATTATTATAACCCAGTTTCGGACGCAATAGAGGGCACTTTTGCCCAGGGTTCGATTTCACGTGTTCTGTGCTCGTTGCTGCAGAAATGCATTATTTCCACTGTTTCAACAGTTCGTTCCCATGGTTATTCGTAGGCGTCGATCTGTTTCAACAGTTCATTGCCACGGTTATTCCTAGGCAACGATCTGTTGGTATTCGATGGACGACATATAACACGTTACAGTATATTAATATTGAATACAATTAATACTTTAACAACCAACAAACCTGTCACAGGTGTGCCATGTATATAATAGGTATATAAAAACGCGCGTGTTCGAATGCAGAGTTGTGCCAAAATTTTGAGGCAATCGGTGAAGAAGCATTTTGTTCACAAATGTCCCACTTTCTGCTCTTCTCTAACATGAGAGACCAGGCTTTACACCTGTATAAAACCACAAAGCTATAATTTTGTGTTAAATCTTAACAGTGTTTCTGATGTGATAGTGAAAGTTAAACCCATTCATCTAAAGATTGCAGTATGTTTAATATTGAGTTTGAATAAGTTATTTTCTAGGTATATCGAAGTTCTTTTTGTTACAAAATCGTGAGTTGCAAATATTCCATTCCTTTGTGAACATTTTTCACTTACCAGGGTGGCACATGTTTGTGGATGTATGATATTGTGATTATTTCTGACTGATATCAGTAAAGAGTTAAGGTTTGGTATCATTCAATTACTCGTAGAATGTATATGTTAAATTTTAATGGGTATGTGATGATCATACTTTTTAGAAGATGGTTATATTATTATATGCTATTTTAAATGTTAAGAGGTTATGTAACATTCAGATTGGGAATATCGGACACTGTCATATTCAAAATGAAATGGATGATGCCTCACTTCAAGTACTGTACACGTGGTACTTTACAACTGTGAGAACTTCATTATTAGTGGAAGATACATTTTGTATTGTTTCAGTCACTTGACACTGTCAAGCAGCAGTGCAATTGTAGGAGTAAACGACACAGCCCAATTCCAACACAGTGTAACACGAAACAATTAAATCAAAATGAAAATAAATCAAAACCGTTTCTGCTTTGATTTCACACGGAATCTCTTGTGATACTTGTGACCCCGTGATACTCGTGTTTCCATGGAAGTATACTTTCTGGTTTCATCCGTTGTTACACAACGGAACCTATTATCCTATGCAACGGTCTGTTCTAGCGTTAATATGGAAACGACTGCACTGAAGATGAAGAAAGAAAGTTATAACAAAAACATATGAAATTGCAAAACATTAAAAAAGGAAAGAACACAAACTGGAAAACAAAGGAGAAACAAAAAAAATACCGACGAAATATTTCAATTCAAACGCAGATCAATCGACACAGCCTAATCCCACCACCAATTGCACCGGAAAATAAGGGAAACAGTTAAGAAAACGAAATGAAAAACAACAAAAAATAAACTATACTCACGAAATGAATGCTGCGGTAAACGACTCAGCCCAATTCCAACGCAGTGTAACACAAAATAATAAAATCAAAACGAAAGTTTCGTTGCCGCAACAGCTTGTTGCCACAGTTATTCCTAGGCAGCGATCCGCTGTTTGAACAGTTCGTTGCCACGGTTATTCCTAGGCAACGATCCGCTGTTTCAACAGTTCGTTGCCATGGTTATTCCTAGGCAACGATCTGTTGGTATTCGATGGACGATGTATAACACGTTTTTTACCTGTTTTTACCTGTCACGGGCGTGACATCTATATAATAGGTGTATAAAAACGCGCGTGTTCAACTGCAACATTGTGTCAAAATTTCGAGGCAATCGGTGAAGAACTTTCGGAGATCTTCAAGGAGAGCCAAACGAACAGTTACATTTTTATTTATATAGATTATTAAGTGACAAATGTAAAGTCTGAAGCTCTTCAGTGTGTAATTTTATTGATCCTCTTATTACTTCCTCTTTCTTAGGAACAAAGTCTCCTCAGCATCTTGTTCACAAATGTCCCACTTTCTGCTTTTCTGTAACATGAGATACCAGGCTTTACACCTGTATAAAACCACAAAGCTATAATTTTGTGTTAAATCTTAACAGTGTTTCCGATGGGATAGTGAAAGTTAAACCCATTAACACATTGCGGACCGGTGGTTTAAACATATAAATCAATCTGGGGACCGGCGTTTTTAAACCTTCTACCCTAACTTGTGCACTGTTCACTTTAAAAATTAATATAAAATCTCCTAATTAATTTTATGAACTGAAATTTTTGGAGAACACTTACCAGAGCTCCTAGAAGTGCTTGCGCATGTGATATCTCTGGAAATATTCCCCTTTGTGAAGAGGCATTACGCAGAATTTGCACATGTAGGCAGTTCTACTCTTCTTCTTGTGCTCTGCGCACACACGGCACTGCCTAGAAGGGTGTTTCTTCTTGCAATATTCACTCTTCACAATTTTCACGAGAATATGTTTCCGCATATCACCCGAGAGTCGGCCAGGGGGGTCTGCTCGAGGCCTCCGGCGGGTGCGAACAGATGGCCCCGGCTGCACTACGTCTGTGTCTGACGCAGGTACTGCCGCCACTGTGACGTCAGTAGCCCAAGCTTTTGCCAGTTTCAACAGAAATGCTTTGTATTTCAAAGTAGAATTTCTGTTCACCTTTTTGAAAACCGTAAATGAATTGAAAATTGCACAGTTTATAAGCCACAGTGCAACTTTCTTTGTCCATTTTACTGTTTTCCTAGGAAGGGAATAATAGGCCAAGAACTGGTTGGCCCTGTCAACTCCTTTCATGAACATATTATACTTGGAAATACAAAGAGGCTTCTTTACTTGCCCATGTCGTCTTTGAACATCGACCATGCTCGAATTGTGAATAGTGGAAACCATATTCACAACGCGAGTATCCCTCCAGGACTGAAGAAGAATGTCCCCCTTCCATCAAAGAAACTATCTCGAAAAAACAGTGATGGAACTTCAGACATGTCCGTTGGGTCCAATGGCATCTGCTTCACCCCTGGATCACCAGTAAACTTTCCCAAAGTGGGGGTTTTGTCCACTTTATTCCATGTAGCTGTCCCGACACTTGCACTTTCAACGGAGCTCTCACTTTCACTTGACACATTTTGGGCAGCCCTGTGGCCCCCATCACTGTCACTGTCACTGATAATTGCCTTGCTATCAGAAGACGAAGCAGTTGGCAAATCTGATAGCTCATCAGATAACATGTCTAATATTTCCTGTCCTCCGAGAGATCGCAACTGCTTTCGTCTCTGAGCCATGTGAACTGGTAGCTGCGTGGTTCATGCGTGCAAGCTTGGATTAGAACAAAGCCAATTTTGTGTAGGTTGTGACAGGAAATGACTCTGGTCGAGTTACTAGATAAGGCAGCAATCATTCCCGAGGTCATCTACGCAGTAGTTACAATTCAACGAAGCCACACAGCGATATATAGCGTTTTGCAACATAACGTGACCGTAGAGGGCCATATGGCCCGACCGGTCCGCAACGCTTGGAAACATAGAGGGCCATATGGCCCGTCCGGTCCGCAATGTGTTAATATAAGTGTAGTAATGAGTTTTACGTCATGTGAATGAAAAATGAATCGTGCTTTCTTTTGAAGAAAAACGAGAATCTTGTTGACAGAGTTTTGGAAATGATTAGTGATCATGGTGTGGAAATATGAAAAGAAATGTTGTTGACCGTTCATTTAAATATTCAAAATTGAACGGTGGCTGCTGTTTCATGAATTTAATCTGCTCTGTTTCATCATGAATGTCATTTTCTTTGCCATTATTATTCCTGAGCACTTGAATGTTGCAACCTTCTCAACTGAGTTATCTGTTACTTTTTTTAAGCAATGACATTTTATTTTTTGATCTTCCTTCTAGCCCAGTCTTCTACCTCATAATAGATTTTCTGGGTTGTGTATTGTATTGTTATTTGTGCTGATATGATTTGAATAATAATTCATACCTCATGTGTGATATTTTTTACTTGTGTATGCCATTTTGATGTTGCCTGATTTCCAGGAGCTGTTCAGCGAACTGTAGGCGATAAATCCGATATTGCAGCTCTAACGCAGTCCCTTCAGACTTTTCGTATACCAACAAGGAAGGATCAACAGAAATGCGGCACCAAGGGAAAGCCAATAATTGTTGAAACTAACCATTTGGCACTGGATCTAAGAAGAATACGAAACAACATTGTTATTCATTATGATGTGACACTTAATCCTTCACTTCCAAAGAGAATGCTCAGGTATGTAAGATTGCCTTTAATTGTCTACAGTAGTGCATTATGTTTGTGAGAAGAATACGAAACAACATTGTTATACATTATGATGTGACACTTAATCCTTCAGTTCCGAAGAGAATGTTCAGGTATGTAAGATTGCCATTAATTGTCAACAGTAGTGCATTATGTTTGTGAAAAAGGGTGAAAAATCCTCTATCTTGATTAATATAAACACTTTGCACAGCATGGATCAGTGGAGTTCATGTCAGTTCAGGTCCAAAGGATAGTGGACTTAAGCCATAAATCGAACGGTTTTCTTATACACCTTATAATCCACTGCACCGTTGCACACATAAAGTCTTCTAAAATCACCCTTTAAGGCAACCTTCTGTATTCTTAAGAACTCCGAATGCTGCATCCTCGATACTCAATACTCATACTGCTCGTAACTCATACTCAATACTGGCTGAATAGTGTTCACCGCTCATTATATAGGCTTGGCACAGACGACATAGAAAACACATTGCTGCTCGGCAACAGATATCAGGTATTGTTGTCAGGTGTGTCTAGGTACACATTGCCTAGCAATGGACGCCCTACGGTTGCATGATGTCAGCCTAGTGGGGTGGGGTGTTTACCGAGTTTTGTGTAGTTACAGGATGAGTGGGGATATGTGACGTCACTTGCAATTCCTGTTGCGCTATCCATGCGTTCACAGAGTTGTCACCCAGCAATGCGCCAATACAATCCTCAACTCTCACATTGTGCGTGTGCTCTGAGGCCTCTGTTGGTTCAACAGTTCCTACATAGAGCCAATACACCACATTGCTCCCTACTTAAGACTGTTTGTCCTGAATAACCTAATGGTGCACCTCCATTCCTTTTCTTCCCGTTGTTTCCATGGGTTCCTGCTAGCAACATCTGCATTTGGTCTTGCCGTTCTCCAGGTCTCTTTTGCAGTGTTTATTCTACCACATCCGCCCCCAAGCAGCTCTGTGTTAGGGCGCAAGCCAGTCCAGTTGTACTACCAGTCACTTGTCATCTTTCATTCTACATTCATACCGGGGAGGCCAGTGTTTTTCATTACCGGTTCCTCCACTGCTTGCAGTCTCTCTTTCCATTTTGGACGTGGTCGACCACAAGGTCCAGTCTATGATCTTTCTTAAGCCGACAGAAGATCTGACTATTCGCTTCGCGATCTTAATGCAGACAATCTTGTAGAAGATCTTTTGAGTTCCTCTCCCTCCTAGGTGTAATCGCTGTCCTGGGCTCCACTTCTGGATGGTGTCCATGGTTTTCCTCTTCTTCCTCAGAGGTGATAACTTTCCCGAGCTCCACCCTCCGATGTCAATCGAGGTTTCCCTCTTTCTCACGTGCAGCGGCCGCTTGCTGCCTCGATCCTTTGTTCTCTTTTTCCTTAATGGTGCATCTGTAAATTCTTCGTGAGCAGTCCTACTCTCTGGGTTCGTTGCTCAACCATGGCCCTGGTACAGCTTCTCTCGACAAAATGTTCCTTCTGCCATGCCACTTTCGTGTGGCGTGTCGTCCCTCTGCTGGCGACAGCCAATCTCTTCTAGGATCCACATTTTTCCCTGGGTCAAAATTTCCCTGAAGATGTTCCTCTTGCGCCATGCCACTTTTGCACGGTGGGACACCTTCCTACAAGCAGCAGCCAGCTTCCTCCAGGATCCACAAATTCCTCAGGTCAGTTCCTTTGGTTTCTGGTGGCGTCTCGCAGCTAGATTTCAGTCTCTACACCTCTTCTTCGGTTCTCTGACCGGTATCACTGTAGAGTCTGGTACAGGTACTTTTTCTTTTTGGGCCACCTCAGGTTTCATGTCCACTGAGGTTGGCTTCATCTCTTCCAGACATGCCTCCATCTCTTGGCAGGCCATCATCTTTACATCCATTTCAGGTTTGACACCCATTTGTCACATGTTTTGTCTACTGTGAACGCCATTCAGATTAATTGGCTTTATTATCCACCTACATGTTGTAACTACAATTGATTATAACACTGTTGTGGGTTTACACAATTTACAAACCCTACACACTAATCTATTCACTCTATCTTCAGTAGTCTTCACATATTACAGCATAACACGGGAGCTCTACAAGTGTCACTGAATTACGCACTCCTGATACCCAGTGCCTTTTCAGTTGTCACCACTATCACTGATTATCACTCTTTTAATCACTCGTTCAGTTCTTTCCACAGCTGCTATTTTTCAACTGAACTGCAATGCTGTGTAGCAACCAGCGCACTTCAGCTCGGAACGTCACGGAGAAACACCACTTTCCTTACTGTTGCATAACTTATCTAACAACTGTTTATCAAGAGTCTGTCTTCGTGGTAACTTGTTCCACATCCCATCGCCCAGCAACGGTTTGACATGTCACAATATATATGTATACACACACAACACAATGCATGCACATACCATTACTCTGCTTATTTCAGTTATCACTGTAGTAATTACTAAGAAAAGGGAGAAATAGTACTTTTCCACTCACTTTATCGTGTGCTCCTATGAGGGATGGTGCTGGTGACAGGTATATTTATGATCTACAGTGTAACGTTGATGTATTACAAATTCATAAAATTTATAAAAAAAAATCATACAGTCAACTCTCGATTATCCGGGATAATGGTGGGGATGGAAATCACGATTAATCGAAAACCCGGTTAAGACAAATTTTATTAAAAGTAGTACTGTAATACTGTACCTTCATAATACTATAGGCCTACCTGCATTTAAATATATTCAACCTCATTTTTATGTCATCTCATGGCCTATTTAATACTTTTTTTACATTACACTGAAGTATGAATTAGTTAGTATTTCAATCACAGTCTTCGACAACATCCAACACTTTTTACGAACATTCACACTTAACACTTAAAAAAATTTAATATTGTCGTTTACTTTTTCACGGCATTTTCCTTTTTCTGTTGAATACTTAACACAACACGCTTCCTTTTACAGACTGACATTTTGCTAACGCACTTGAAGATCAATACAAAGATACTAACTGGGGCGATGTATCTGTCCTTGAAACTTTCCACAAATCCTTGCATTCTTTCACCCCTACCCTAGAACATTGTGTTAGCATAACGGGACCAAAGAATGCAGAGCTCGGTTCACACTAGTGCGAAAATAGTGTTACAACTCGCCATGTGAAACAAAAGTGAATGAATGTTAAACAACATATAAGCCTCAAAAAAGCGTCAGTAGCCCCGGTTAAGCCGCAAACCGGTTAATCCGCCCCCGGATAATCGAGAGTTGACTGTATTCTAATAGGTACTCCTAATATCTGAAATTGGTTGAAATACACAGTCTTAAACTTTGTCTCGTAATGTCCGTTGGCATAAATCACAATGTGTCAGTAAGGTCAGAAGTAAGTCAGAATGGGTTTTTAAGTTCAAGATGAGATTGAGACAATTTGTAAATATTTCAAGACAGTGAAATTGAGAACAAGAAGTTTCTGTAGTAGACTAGTTTTTTATGACCATGTTCCCCCCAAATGTAATATGTTCCCACTCTAGGAAACAAATGACTGCACAGAAAAAGTAATTTTAGGAATGACTTTTATACTCATTCAACAAACATTCAAAATATATATTATTAAACGTATTGTGACATGTTGCGCAATGGAGAACCCTCCCTACCCAGCAGCAACGTGGCAACTCAGGCCACCGTGACGTGGCGGATGAGTCAGCGCTCCCCTCCCCCCCTCCGCACGATAACGTAACGCGCAACGCGCGGTGTCGTAATACGGCGCGAGGTAACAGCGTTGCTAGGCTATTCGCAAACACGGTGACGCAGCACTGCTTCCTACTGTGACAGGGCACTCATTATGCAACAGGCAAGCACTGCGGCTATATAAGGGAACTGCACAGCAGCTACGAGTCAGTTGAAATGTGGACATCGCCGAGTTCAGTAGTAGTCGAGCGAGTGTGTGATCAACAGTTCTCAAGGCAGCAGCCTGCGAGTCGAGTTGAAATATAGCAGCCGTCGCGGAAAGAAGTACCGGACGTGTGTGTAACTGAGAATTAATTGGGAGTGTGATACAGTTGGACTTATATAGCTCCCGTACTGTGAAAACGTGTTGACTACTGACAATAGAGTGAATTGATTATTGCGAATAGGGTTATAAAGTGTAAAACCCCACAATATTGTTATAATTAATTGTAGCCGTGATTTGTAGGTTGTTAAATAAACCAATTAACGATCTCTACGGCGTATTCAGTAACCCAACACGTTCCAGTATTATACACTGAAGTGCCAAAAGTCATGGGATAGGTACCTAGAATCGTGTAGGACCCCCTCTAGCCTGCTGAAGTGCAGCAACTCAACATGACATCGATGCCACAAGTGGACAGAAGACCTCTGGAGAGATGTTGAACCATGCTGTCTGGATAGCCACCCACAGCTCCCTGGTATTTGAAGGTGCAGGATTTTGGGTGCGAATGGACCTCTGCACCACGTCCCATAAATGCTCAGTTGGGTTCATGTCGGGCGAACGTGGTGGCCACACCATTCGTCGGAACTCTCCAGAATGCTCCTCGAACCAGTTCTGGACAACTCTGGCCCGATGACACGGTGAATTGTCCTGCTGGAATATCCCATCATTGTGGGGGTACATGAAGTCCATGAAGGGCTGCAAATGGTCACCAAGCAGTGTAACGCAGTGGTTTAGGTGGACGAGCGGACCCAACTCATGCCACGTGAACACACCCCACACCAGTATGGAACCACCACCAGCCTGCACGGTGCCTTGTTTACAATGGGTCCATGGCCTCATGGGGTCTGCGCCACACCCGAACCCTACCATCCACCCGAAACAACTGTTACCGTGACTTGTCGGACCACGCCACATGTTGCCAATCCTCCAGGATCCAATTAGTGACGTCACAAGCCAAGGTGAGGCACTGTGTCCGGTGTTGTGGTGTTAACAGAGGCACTCTGGTTGGTCTTCTGCTCCCATATCCCATGGACGCTAAAGAACACTGCGCTGACCTGCTGGATATGCGTCTAGTACCTCCTGCATTGAATGTGGATGTGATTTCAGCCAGTGTCGCTTGTCTGTTACCGTGGACTTTTCTAGCTAGACGCTGCTGGTCATGATCATTAAACACCCGTGATCGCCCACTGCGCTGTCCACAGTGGGTGGAAATGCCTTCCACAAGGTATTCCCGGTACACACATGACACCATGGATCAAGGAACGTTGAATGACCACACAACTTCAGAAATGGAATGTCCCACCCGCCTGGCACCCACTATCATGCCCCGTTCAAACTCCGTTAATTCACGTCGGCTTACCATCAGCAGACTGGCCGGTGTTCAACCTAACTCACGAGAGAACACCTCACAACTGATAGTACTCTGGGCATTCCCAAGCCATCAAGGGACGGTTGCACCACTTAAAAATAAATTTACATACTGCTATCCCATGAATTTTGGCACTTGAGTGTATTTGACGTTTATTTACTTTGTTTCCTTCTTGATCTCACTAACATTTATTTGACTTTAGCAGTCTGATTATTTTTACCATTCCTAGCTTCAGTGTCTTCATAATTCCCATGTGCATTCTCATATTTGCTATTTGCACTGTCATGTCCTTTGCCAAGATTCCCAGCTACTTCCTGATCCTCCATTATATCAGATATGTAACACTTTTTAATCCTTTAACCATCATTTATGAAGAGATCCGGTGGTACAAATGTTCTATACTGGGCTGCCATATTGTCTCATTGTCCTCTACCAAGGGCTATGACTTGTTTCAAATTGTGCTTCAGAGGATTGTTCACTAGAGCATGAATTACATCATGTATGACCATAATGTCAGTATGTACTACATGAATCTCAGACTTAAGCTCCATTGTTAAATGACCTTCAAACACACCCAGCACAAGCATCCCTTGTTTTCACAACAATACTCTTTTGTCTTCCATTCCAGAACACTTGTAACCCATCTCCCATCATTTCATTTAATCAGTCACCCCAAGTTTGATGCCTGATCATTATGTCCATAGGCCACTGTGCCCTAAGAATATTTTTTTTGTTTCAGTATCTCACAGTAATTACAAGGAATCTTCAAAAAGTTTCCACGCATTTTATTTTACAACTACTTTATGAATGATTACAAAAACAAAATACATAATTTTTCTATGTAATCACCCTGTGTTTCAACACACTTTTCCCAGTGTCCTAGCAAACTTCCTGAGAGTTTCCAAAGTGCAGGCTGCAGTATGGGGATGGACATTGTCGTGCAACGACAGGATATCCTCTGACAGTCTCCCTCTTCTTTTAGATCATGTTACAGGCTTCAGGCCTCTCTTGAGCATGTCGCAATAGGTTGCACTTGTGACAGTTGTTTCACATTCCAGGTAGGGCTCAAGAATATGCTCTTGAGAATCCCAGAAGATGGTCAACATCAGCTTACCTGACAATGGTTGTGTCTTGAATTCCTTTGCCACAGGAGATGATGGCTCTTTCCATTGCTTGCTCTTTTGTTTGGTTTCTGGTTGATATTGGTGAACCAAGGTTTTGTCACCTGTGACAATCTGTTGCAGAAAGTTGTCTGCATGATAACAGTCCAAGTGGCAGGAGCAAATGTCGTCACTCTGACAAGTCACAGGTTTTATAGGTGTGAATTATTTCACTAGCCATGCAACACAGTGTACAACAAAGAAGCTGCTGGTCAGAAGAGAAGTTCAGACGACATGATGGACATTTCTCATTGGTTAACATTTTTGGGGGACTCGGTGTTGAAGATGACTGACTGTACTGTCCAAGACTTGAGTATTAAATTGTATTCCCCAGTTTTATTTATGTTACGGCTTCAATATTGTACTCGTATGTTGGTTCTATTATAGCAGTTGATGTTTCCTTGCTTGCCTGACATATTTCCATTGTAACTTGTCCTGCCTTTCATTGTAGCACATAATAAAGTAAAAGTTTTCAAGTTTTTATTCTCTTAATACCTTGCTGTGTAAAATTGCCTTATTTCATCTGTTAGCAGTTTACTGTATTCCATTATTTTAGACCTGCCATGGAAGAATTCAGACGAAAACATTATCCAGGGCGATTTCCAGCATTTGATGGAAAGAAGAACTTATATAGCTCTGGAGAACTGCCATTTGGCAGAGAGGTGAGTTTGCTTTATTTTAGAAATAAGCTTGGTGCAATATACCAACAATACACTGTCTTTGTTTCATGAATTTTGCACGAAGTCTCCATTAACCCTTTGGCTGCCATGCCCTTTGACCGAAATTCTGCTTTAAATGCAGGTAATTTGGTGGTAAGTGCAGAGATGAACACGAAAAAATACATTTAAATCCATGTTGTGTGATAGAAGAATGGTTCTTTTTCTGTCTTTAATGAACATAGACATAAACAGCATTTTAGATAAAGTATGTAAAAGCGTATGCAAAAGAAAATCTGTTTTACTGAAATAAGTTCAAATAAACGGTTTTTAAAATATATATAGCAATACCTCGCATAGTCCACGTAATTGGTTCCACCGATGTCCCGGACTGTTTGAAACTGGACTAATCGAGGAACTAAATACGTGCAAAAAATGATAATTGGTTAAAAAAACTCTGTTTTTCAATAAATAAAACGCAATTAATAAATTCAAAAGTCTTTATTAAAGATAATTTAAAAAATCATGTTTTTCGCAATTCATTGTTTGTTCTCTAAAAATTGCAATATTGATGTCTGCGCATTTTTCTTCTTTGGCCTTTTCTCTTCATACATTTCTTTGTAGCAATGAATTGCATTGCTTATTGTTCGGCAAATTGTAAGGCTACGTTCAGTATTGGGATCAACTTCCATAATATGCTCTTGACAAGGTTTCAACCATTCCAATAATTTTTTATAGTTCATCTGTTAATTCTCATTCAGGCACTTCAGCACAGTTGTCAGTGTCTAAGTTGTCCTCCTGTTGTTCATCTATGTTAAAAAGTGTTTTATTATCTAGTTAGTGTTCGATTTTATGCACTCAGTTACGTTGACAGAATCTAACTCATTGAAACCAAGTTGCTGTCCAGTTTACTGTACGGGGTGTGTTCAAAAAATGACGGGAATTTCCGTATTTTGGAAAAAATATTTATTCATTCGTCTACATTAATGTTGTCGCCTTCAAAATAGTCCCCATTCGATATTATGCACTTACGCCAGCGCTTCTTCCAATCATCGAAACACTTCTCAAACTCGATTTTTGGGATAGCCTTTAGCTCTTTCAGCGATGCGCTTTTAATGTCATCTATGCTTGTAAAACGACGGCCCTTTAAGGTTCTCTTTATTTTTGGAAATAGGAAAAAGTCACACGGAGCCATGTCTGGCGAATATGGAGGCTGGGGCATCGTTACAGTATTGTTTTTGGCCAAGAATTCACGAACAAGCAACGAAGTGTG